TACGAAGAAGTGAAAAGGAAGTCCCAGATTATTGAGGTGTAACTCTAAATCAGTTGTGCTCAATGGGGGACAGGGGGGCAATTTTGCCCCCAGGGGACATTTGGAGATGTCAGAAGATACTTTTGATTGCTGGGGCTGAGTGGAGATATTGGCATTTAGTGGGTAGAAGCCAGAGATACTGCAAAACATCTTATAATCCCAAACAGCCTCCCACAACAACAACAACAAAATCATCTGACCAAAATGTCATAGGGCCATTATTGATAAACCCTGCTTTAAATGTCATACTCTATAAAATTTACATTTCAGCTGCCACACTACCCAGTGAGTTAGTCTATTTAAGCCTATTTACATATTTACAATCCCAATATGCAGAAAATGCTCACCAATTTCTGCACTTTTCCCCAAGGACTAATGATGTACAACAACCAGTTGAGGTTTTTCAAGAAATGTGCCCTAAACACAGTTCTACTCCTTAATTACTCTTCTCTACAAACTAATGGTCTCTATTCAGGAATACTAAATCCAGTTTCACATATGGTCAAAAAAGAGGTCGGAAGTATTTTTTTTAAAGATTTTATTTATTTGACAGAGAGAGAGAGAGACAGCAAGAGAGGGAACACAAGCAGGGGGAGTGAAAGAGGGAGAAGCAGGCTTCCCGCGGAGCAGGGAGCCCGATGCGGGGCTCGATCCCAGGACCCTGGGATCATGCCCTGAGCCGAAGGCAGATGCTTAACAACTGAGCCACCCAGGCACCCCCAGAAATATTTTTGATAGAAGATAAATCACACTTTGATAGGAGCTCTATTTTTGAACTCCTATATTCCATATATTTGAAGCCATATATTCCAAGTGGAGCCATCATTCCTCAGAGGAAAAGAATCACTGATCACAGATGTTAATTCCCTCACAAAAATATTCATAAAATTATGTCTTGTGACATGAAACTGACATACCTAGGACAGTTTGTGAGCATGTGTCATGGATTACACTCAGAGTGTACAGAATGCTCTGTAAAGTGTAAAAGGCCCACCGTTGGTGACGCTCTGTCCCTATCATCAGTGTGATCACAAGTGAGAAGGTCATTAACTTCCCCTGAGGAGCACATGCATGGGAGTACCTTCCCAGAGATAAGAAGCTCTGAGAGCTGATGCCTGTCATTATCCTCTAAGCACCACCTGCTCTCCATCTGGGATCCTTGATTCACATCTGGAGTAAGAGCCTCCATTTATCTAGTGTGCCTGTTCCCAAGATTCAGGGATGCCACCAACTTTGAACCTGAAGCTCTCAGCACCTGGGCCATGCATTTGAACCTTAGCTTGCAGTGCCTTGAAAGATACATCATGTCAATGGTCTTGGTCCTTGCTCCCTTAATAGACTGTACACCCCTTTGAGCAGGGACTGTATCTCCTGCCAGTGCTTCCTGACACAATCACCTGGGGATCTTGTTAAGTCACAGATTCTGATTCAGGAGGTCTGGGGTAGGCTCTGGGATTCTGCATGTCAAGCTCTGAGGAAATGCCAGTGTTTCTGGTGTCAGGACGACACTTTGAGTAACAAGAACTTAAATGCTGTTAAATCCCCAGTAGTTGGCATTGAGACTTACCCACAGCAGGCAATGAATAAATATTGATGGTGAAGGGGTTCAATTTCTGGCTCTTTACAAACAGGTGTTAGAAGACAGATCTGCCAAGTCAAACTCAAGGCTCATGACCCAGATAAAGAAAGTTTGACCAAACACAGCATTGCCTGAATTATAAAAAGCAATTTATTAGTTACGTTCTAATACCACTGTGAATAATTAAGTTATAGAAATATTAAACTGAGTGAAACTTTCAAGGTGGAGTACAGAGATACATCTGGAATATATATGTATTAATACCATATTTCCCATCTGACAGCATTTCAATCTCACAACGCCAAATTACAAAAAAGCTGATGCTAGCTTCCAAATGTATGTTTGGAAAAGCCTCAAAGAGAGTGAGTTGGTAGAACATCTCTTCATCATTTCAGGAATAACTGGCTTACACTCTGACAGAAACCAGTAGTATATTTAATATATTAGAAACATGGCGATCCTCAGACATGCTGTGTAAAAGAAAAGATGCTATCAACCTGGGCAATGGATGTGTAAGTGTTCATTGTACAATTCCTTCTACTTTTTAGTATGTTAAAGATTTGGGATTATGGTCTTGGGTACGATGCAGTAAGTACACTGTCTCTCCCACCACATGTGACTAAAATCTCCAGACAAAATGCATAGAGTAGCTATTTGAGGACTCTGAGAAGTAAATGGTAGCAGGTAGATTGGGAAGTAAACCAATACTCAAAATATAAACAAAGAGGGTTTCCTGATTTGGTTTTTGTTTTTTTCCTTCCATATCTTCCAGCTTGAACTCAAGGCAGTGTAAGTCACAGAAGTGTGCTCTGGGCACAGACAGAAAGAACTCCAAGAGAAGCCCTCTCTTTCTGGGCTAAGGAGCAGAAGGGTGGTCCTACAGGATGGAGAAAGTAGGGGAAATACTGTTTCTTTATTCTCTTCTGGGCCTGCTCCAGGCAAGCCTCACTCCCAAAGCTGGAACCCTGTGGTAGAAGGGACAGCAACAGCACTAAGTGGGCAAGCACCTAAAACTGACAGAGAAATCCTCTCAGACTAAAGGAACTGTGGTCATACTTCTCCCTCTCCCTCTGCTATTCCCTCTGCTTGTACTCTCTCTCTCTCTCTCAAATAAATAAATAAAATCTTTAAAAAAAAAAAAAAAAAAGTCCTGTGGCTATGATCTCTATATTGGTTTGTGAAGGCCAATCACACCTAAGATTTACCCTAGGTGATTCATGTTTTGTTTTGTTTTGTTTTTAGTTTCTCACACATCATTCATAACTTTTATTCAAGAGGATCAAATTCCCGGGATCTTCTTTAAATAAGTTAAACCAGTTAAACCTGATCATCATTATGCCAGACAGTCAGAAAAGACTGAACACACACAAAAGTAAACAAATGAAGGCTCTATTTTTGTCCGTGATCCTCAAGTGAAAGCTTGGCTTAACTCCCCCCCAGAAACTTGAAGAGAATAAAATGAGGATAATGGCAGTGTATACCACGGGTACAAACTCATACACTGCACCCAGACCACACCAATGATAACAGATGCCAACTGTTGCACACTTACCATGTGCCAGGCGCTATTCCTGGTGTGTGTGCCATCGCCTTCCCATTTAAACCTCACTATGGCCTTAGGGGGCTATTTGACAGAAGAGGAAACTGAGGCTAAGAGGGGCTAAGGACTAAGCCCAAGATCACCTACCTAGAAGACTGATGGAGCCAAGACCTGACCCACACAGTCAGAGCCCTGCTTTTAATCTCTGGGTGCGCAAGTCCAGGGATGCAAGGGACTAGCCTGGTGGGCTTCTCTGGTCCAGAGGGAACACCGACTTGGCCCAGGCATCACGGAGGCTCACTTTCACACCCTTCCATTTGCATTATGTTGCCCACAGTTGCTACTTTTATGGTCATAAGCCACCAATTCTAAGTACCACCCTATTTTAACGTATCTGGGATCAGGATGCATCTCCCAATCTCAGGCAACCAGATAGTAGATGTGATATTGTTATACTGCTCGTAGTGTGCATTAAATCAGAATGGGTGTCAGCTTAGAAGAAAATCTCAGAAACCCTAGTGGGGTACCCTTTAAAGAAATGTTGCATCGCAAGCACCTCTGAAGGCAAAAAGGACAGTATTTTGTTTGGAAAAGCAAAGACTTCGAGACTCTGAGTAAGAAAGTGATTTAGAAGAATCAAGATCAGTGTGAAGTTCGGGAACCAACTTATCTTGCTTATTTGTTCCTTAAATGTGTCTAATAAAAAATCTAAGATAAAATTCTAAAAAAACTCTTTCAAGAAGTATAAACTATTCTAAGGGACAAAAAAAGCTTGTATGTGTCATGGTTTAAGCGGCAGCATTATTTTTTCTTAGTGTCATATAAAATAATGATATACCTTACAATCACTGGTGCCTTAAATTAAATGATTATCTTCTTACAGTATAGCTCAGAGAGGTACCAGGAGCTCTTTCCAAAGAGCCCGTGTAGAATTCATTGACCCAAAGGTTAAAAGTGACTATCAAGAGCAGATGACTCGCAAATCTGCCTCCACAGCCACAGCTCCTCCACCTAAGCCTGTGCCCAGTTTCCATCCCCCTAAAGTCCACTGAACCCCAGAGAGTTTCTGTCTGCCCACTGCTCCCACCTGAACGTACCTGCACCCTGCAGGTGCCTCAGAGTAAAGTCCTCCAAAATCCTTATTACTGATCTCAATCTCTGCTCAGGGGCAGGCACTCCCCCTTCCCAATAGTCCAAACCGGCGAATTGGGCATCAAAAATTCTTCCCTCTCTCTAACCCTAGTCACAAATCCTATGGCCTCTGCCTCCTCCTATTCCTTCATCCTATTTGCTCCCTGTGAGTGTCCTGGTGGCAGGTTTTCTCCATAGCTCTTGATTTAGCAATTTCCAGTATCACCTGACTGGGTGTCCCCACCTCCAGGCTCTCCAGGCACCAAGCGCCTCTTCAAACCACTGTGACAGTCACAGGCCTATACCCAAAATGGAGTCCATCTCTCTTTGCTGCTTAAAACCCTGCAAGGTCTACAAATCAAAGCCAAGCCGCCCTCCCCCTGGTGAGCACAGCCCTTTTTAATCTCTGCCTTGGCCCTCTCAGCTCCCACCTTTTTTCATGCCCTTCTTGGCCTGTAGGCTTCTAGAATAAGAATACATACTCTACCTAGCATAAATTACATATTAAATATTTTTAAGAGAATGGGTGAATAAATGAATGGGTTAACAAATTACTTGCTGGGATACTTTAAAGAAAAAAGAATGGATTTTTTAGCATGACATTTTACACTCTGTAGCACTAACATCTTTGTTTTCCTCCCATGAAAGCCATTCCTCCCACCCTTCCACTTGTGAGTCTTGTGCTTACCTATAATGAGCAACTTCACATACCTCATTGATCTCATTTATTTCTTGCCATTGGGTTAGCAGCACCTGGACCGCAGGACTGTGACCATGCTTTGCTGCAAGATGCAGAGCAGCATTCCCCTCCTGCAACAGAGACAAACTCATGATAGAGTCCGCTGCACTGAGCAACATGCCCCTCCAACAGGGCTGAAATGGAGCTTCTGAGAGGTTTCATTTTGATTAAAGCTGTAGTCCAGAGTGTGGGCCACATTATCCATAGTTTCAAGTGAAATTTACAATTTTTTAAAGTTTCAAATGAAAAGACATAGTTATTTGAACCAGAAGGGAAACACCATCCATGCTTCTTGTTCTACCTTTGCTGCTAATTTGCTAACAAAAAGTGAAACAATTTAGAAGCAATCCCATATGACCTATGTGAAGGTAAACTGGTGAAAGATTTCTGGGAGATAGTTTAGCAATGTATACCAAATGATTTAATGTGCAAAACTTTTGGATGCACAATTCCATGTGTATGTATGAATTCCTCTTAAGCAAATAATCAAAGATGTGCAGAAAGATATGGGTGCCCATTAGGGTTTCCCTCCCCAGTCTCCAGCAGACCTCAGGGGAGGAAAAGAGGAAACTGGAGTTAACAGCGGAAAAATCCATGTAGTCTATTGACTTCACAAACATTTATGGAGTGAAAATTAGCAATCTGGATGTTCCACTGCAAAAGTAGGTTCATTTTATCTGGATATTCCATACTCTGACTGTAGTAACAATTGAACATTCCTGACCAAAATGACATCACCAAATCTATATACCAGGTGTCACTCCCCTTTCTCTTGTTCTCAGCAAAGAAATAAGAGTCCAACTCACCTTGTCCTTTTCTGAAGTGTGTAGATTAAGGAAGATAAGTTTTTCTATCATTTCAGTGTGGCCCCTCTCTGCTGCCCAAAGAAATGGTCTTATTCCTTTCTGAAAATCAATCACAAAACTCCAGTGTTTATTACACATTTATTGGACAAGCAAGACAACTGACAAGATGGACAGCAGTTTGATGGTTACAAGGAGACCAAGACGGTGCTTCTGGTCATGGCGTGTAGGCCCTTCCCAGGCGATAACAATCTCTGTAAGTCCCAACCAGATCCAGTTCTGAGTTGCTGCCCAAAACTGTGGGAACTCCCCATCAGCACAGAATCATTTTTATGGGGGCAGAAAAGTACTGTTCAGAAGTGTTCCTCCCAAGCACCTGGGGAAGTGCCAACTCACAGCCAGACAACAAGATTCATTTTCAAATGTAGGATTTCTACCAACTTTCCAAAATGTTTATTGAATAGTTCTATCACTCAACTATTTATTGAGAAGTTATTAGGTGTCAGATCCTGTCTCAGGTACCTGCACATCACACATCAAGCCTTGCTTTACTGATAAAAATGTTTGAAGCAGAAATTCTCCAGGACTTAACATTTAGATGGCTCAATCAGACATGGAATTTTATCTACTGCTTCTTTTTAGGCCTTCCTTGCTTGCTCATGTATTTATCTCTAACGTTCACCAAAAATCAACAGGAATACTCTTGAGAACAGGTCTATATGAACTGGAATGGAAAAATTAGGCAACATCCAGAGTACATAGCTTAAGAAGGATGTTTAGGTATGATTTGTTGGGGAGAAAAGTTCAAATGTAGAATTTTCTGACTGTGGTAATTTCTTAAATTTTTCACACTACTCCATTTGCAATAGCCAAAATGTCATCAAGAAAGTGAAAGACCCACAGAAGACTTAATTTTCAAACTCAAGATATTTTTTTAAAAGATGTTATTTATTTAATCTGAGCGAGAAAGTGCTCGCACACACCCAAGCAGGGGGAGAGGCAGAGGGGGAGGGAGAGGGAGAGACAAACTCAAGCAGACTCTGTGCTGAGCATGGAGCCCTACTCAAGGCTCAAGGCAGGGCTCAATGTGGGGCTGTCTCACAACCCTGACATCATGACCTGAGCCAAAACCAAGAGTCAGACATTTAACCAAATGAGCCACAAGGCGCCCCTCTAACTCCAGATATTTAAAAGAAGAAAAAGGAAGTTGTGGTGGAAAGATGGAGGCAGAAGTATTTTCTTCAATTAAAGAAAACACTCACAAATTGGCTTGGTGTGTTATTAACCAAAAGCTTAGCAAGATGTTTGAAACGTGGAAAACAAGATACAAGCCTCTCTATAAGAAGGTTCCTAAATCTGAGATTTATTATCTGATCTGCTAATGCAGGGTAATGAAAAGATCATGGAGACTGTTAACTTGAGACAAACAGCACATGATTCCCCATTAACTGGGAAAAAAAAGAAGGATAAGGAAGGAAAATGCTGAAATAATAATGGCAAAAAAAAAAATGTCTACAAGGATCAGCCCTATGGAACTCTGTATTCACGCATTTATGGAAGCTGGAGTAACAAAGTAGTAAAAAAAATTTTCCTAATTCATTATTCTTGAGCCAGACATGTTTGCCAATGAGGCCTACATCCCCAACCTTCAACCCTGGAAGGCTTGGCTCTCATCATCATTCTCATGAATTCACTAAGGAAGTGCAAAGAGAAGACACGGATTGCTTGGGCCCCCAATTTTCTGATTTTCTGCAAGTTATTAGACACCTAATTGAAAACAGAATTTAGGGGCGCCTGGGTGGCTCAGTTGGTTAAGCGACTGCCTTCGGCTCAGGTCGTGATCCTGGAGTCCCGGGATCGAGTCCCACATCGGGGGGTCTGCTTCTCCCTCTGACCCTCTTCCCTCTCGTGCTCTCTCTCATTCTCTCTCTCTCAAATAAATAAATAAAATCTTTAAAAAAATAATAATAATAATTTACAGCAAAAACAATTTTTTAATGTGGAATGTTGGGGCATTTAAATATGTTTGATAAGATGTAAGGGGGTAGGGCCTCCAGAAAGGAGTTGTTAGGGTCTACAAAAGTCTTCACTGGACCAGGGGCATCTAGTACAACCCTGAAGAGAACCTACTGCCCAAACTCTGGGCAGCATAACATCCAGCACAAATGGAGGAAGCCTCTACTGTCAGCTCAATCCATAATCTCCAATTGCCTTCCCAGAAATGGCTCAATCCTTTACCCCTTCCCCTTAGTCGGGGGTTAGGGCACAAAAGCAATCTCCTGGACAGCAAGACGAATCACTGTCAAGAGGTGAAGCAGTTCCAAGATCAAACACAGTAATCACCTACAGATGTAAGAGCAAAATAAGCCTAACGTGTCCCCCCAGTAATTTGTCCGTGCTGCTGGTTTCTTGCTGCACACTGCTCGGGTCCCCCAGGGGGTGAGGCGGAGACAGGTGCGAACAACGAGTGGGGGCTGAAGCTGTTGATCCAGGAAGTGTGTTAATGAACTCAGGGGAAAACTCAAGAAAAATGTAAAAGCTCAAAAATGGACTCAGGACAATTTCCAGGCTGCCTAGATGAGGCCGAGGCTGTAAGGATATGGACAATGTGGAGTCTGCAATCCCAGCTGGGTGGGGAGAATGTGAGCATGTGAAAGCCATCACAAAGCAAAACCTCTCTGGAGGCTAACAGAATTAAGTACAGAAGGGAGGGAGGGCACAGAACAATGGAGTCAGCCAAAAGGATTGAGCCCAATAGGACCCTGATAATGAGGGAGGCTTTTCCAGGGACTCCAACAGGGGCTGAAGACTGAGGGCAGGGAGGCACCTGTGAATGCCTGAAAAACAGCACAGCTCTCCACACTCTGAGAATTTCATGGGCCCCATGAATTCTTAATGTGGTGCTCATTTACTGCACAAATAATGGTGCTCATTTACTGCACAAATAAGTCTGCAACTCCAGGGGGAATCAAGTCATAGTATCTTTATTTTCCACTCTCTCACAGTCTTGTCCATGTGTATATAAATTTCAGATAGTGAAGATGTATGCACAAATACATATTGGGT